ATATATATATATATATATATAGATAGATAAAATATAGAAATTTTAATAATTTAAGTGTAACTACTATTTCCTGATTTAATTTTTAATTATTTATTATAATTATTTTAATTTTTATTATTTATTACATTTTAATTATTTATTAGTTAGAAAAAGCATTAAGTTTTAGCTAAATAGACGTACTCTTTTGTAACTTTTAACTTTAAAGTTACGAAAATTTATCCTTATTGATAGAAAATACTTTCTGGATTTTGCGCTAATTATAAAGTACGATATATTTTTCGTTTTATTTGTTCATCAAGATTATTTGCTTTTCCTATTTCTCATTCTTCTGCATTTTCTCTATTTCTTCTTACTGCTAAACGCAAACTAACTCCGTTATGTTATCGCATAGTGTAATTTAATAATTTACATGGAATATTCATTCTGTCGTAAGATAATTTTGATTTACAATACTAAAACATTTTCCTTTTCTTTGAAACAATCATATCAAACATCTTTACGTGTTGCGTCATTACTTCTATCAATTACTTGTCAATTACATACCATAAAGAGCCCAATCTGTGACTGGTGCGACGGACATGCCGCATTTGAAGACACCTTTTAAGTCCATAGCGAGCGTCATGCCGGTCGCGTATCCACCATAACTCCAGCCCCATATCGCCGTTCTGGTACGGTCAATGAAGAGCAATTTGTCCTGCAGATGCCTGTAAAAAGCACAGAAATGGTTCAAATCAATATCACTGAAAACACGATGTCGAAGCTAATAAATCATAGCTAAAATACATCACTCCACTGTTTCTCACGAAATTGATTAAACATTTTAATGATAAAAGTATTTATGGCACATAGCATAAAAAACAAAGAGAAAAAGGGCAGATATATAAAAGCAGATTTTTATATGTAATTTGTGTATTATTAAAAAAATACGAATAATGACATATTCCCAAAATTATAAACTTCTGGACTCTTCATAATTTTTTAAATATAATACGAGGTGTGTACAAAAAATTCGTGCACTAAATTTTATTCTGCTGACGTGGTGACGCTGTAAGCTTGTATAGTGATGCAACATCTCGGGGAAAGCGTCACGTGTCCTTAATAAAAGTTAGGCCACGGTCAAATGAGATCTCTGCTTTCGTGTTTGTGAGCAAATGTGCTCTCTGTTTTTATTAACGTACTTTTGGTCGTGTTGGCGGAATCGAGCGAGACGTTTTAACACGGCATAGAACCAACAAATTTCTCATAAAACTTGGCAAAAACAACCAGAAAATTCTTCAAATGTTGGAAATAGTGTAGTACCACTAAAATGATTGCAGAAAAACTTGGAATAAATAACGGTAGTGTTCAGACAATTTTAAAAGAAGATTTAAACATACGGAAGCTGTGTGCAAAAATTATTCCAAAAGTTTTGACTGACGAACAAAAACAAAGACGTGGTGACTGTTGCAATAATTGGATCGAAAATGCTCAAAATTCAAATTTTCTCGAAAGGGTGATAACTGGAGACGAATCCTGGATTTGTATGATTCTGAAAAAGGCAGAGTGAAGAATGGAAGCACCGTGGTTCGCTTCGCACCAAAAAAGCGCGCAAAAGTCGTTCAAAAATCGAGATCATGCTTATAGTTTTTTTCAATATTCGTGGAATTGTTCATCATGAATATGTTCCAGAAGGTAAATCTGTTAATGCAAAATTCTATGTTGAAATCTTAAAGCGTCTGCGTGTGCGACATACACGATCCGAATTATGGGCGAAGAACGCATGGATTCTGCATCAGGACAGTGCACCTTCGCACACCGCGTTCGTTACGCGTGAGTTTTTGGCCAAAAACAATATCATTACCATAGACCACCCTCCCTAATCACCTGATCTAGCACTCTGTGACTTCTACCTCTTCCCTAAAGTAAATAATATCATGCGGGGTGAACATTTTGTGATTGTTGATACCATAAAAGAAACGACGAAGCTCCTAAAGAAACTGACAACGGAAGACATGCAGCACTGCTTTCAGGAATGGGAGAAGCGTTGGACCAAGTGTATTCTCTGTCAAGTAGAGTACTTCGAGGGTGACCACATCCCCGTTACAGAATAATTTAATTTTGATTTTTGGTGAACCGAGTGCACGAACTTTTTAAACACACTTCGTTAACACGTTAAATGCCACGCCGGTCCCTATGGACTGTCCGTTTATGCCAGCCTCTACGGACCGGCGCTCAATTTTTTGTTTACATTTTATCTTTAGTTTACACTTTAGCTTACGCATCGCGCATGAGTCTCTGAATGATATTGTCTCGCGTAAACGGAAAGTGAAACAAAATAAGCTCGGCAGTTAACGTATTAATGGATTTAATCAATTTCATCAATTACAAATTGTAGTAGAAGCACTAATTGCAAGTTTCTGATTGACGACAATTTTTTCTTCTTTAATCCTAATATTACAAAAATCTTTATTTTTATTAAAAATATACTATATCGTATCATATCTGTTTTATACCATGTCTTACAATAAACGCAAAAAAATTGTTCGAAAATATTTTCTATCTTTTGCGTTTATTGTAAGACACAGTACGAAATAGATATGACATAATAATATATATATATAGAGGAAGTATCTTCGTGAAAATGAAGATCTTTCTATTTACTTTGAAAACAATATCAAAAGAAATGCATTCTTTTGTTTCCATTTAGAAACATCGCGCAGGAACCATCGCCCTACAAGATTATCTTGAATTACCCTCTTTTGCTACAGTGTTCATAAAAAGACAATCACCTTTTTCGCTGAAGTTCACAAACGAGATAATCGATAGCTTTGTGCGATACTTTGTAATTTCTGTTTTTTTTTCTTCCCGTATCTTCTATTACCTCGCATGCACTCTTCGCAATTGTACATACGCGCTAACATCTGCCTCGTATTAAAGAATATATTATAGCACACTATCGCCTTTCATGAATCGTGTGTCACGCAACTACAATTTTCTATAATAATGCAGTTATAATTATCGAAATTTTGCAGAAAATCTAATTCCATCGCAGTTTAATAATTTTATTAAATTATTTTTACATCAAACTCTTTCAGAAAATTGTTGAATAACACTAGTTTATCAAAAAATATCTTTGGGCATATAAAGATATTTTAAGACAAATTAAATTTAAATCCAATGTGTTACATGTGTGGCAAGATTTAGACAATAATGTCCATATTTTAATTCAACGAAAACAAATACTCCAGAGAGCTTCATTTTAATGACCTTTCCAATTACCAACGGATTCGGTATTGCGAATTAAAGGAAGTTTGAAAAAGTGATGTTTCTTCACAATATCTTTAAAGAAAGATCAACTCCAATTTGTATAAAAAACTTACAGACGAAGAAAGCAAATGTTACTTGTGGACGACTCGTGTATCTCTCAAACGTCTACCAGATTGAGTGCTGCGTGAGCCGCATCTCAGCTCATAATTTCTGGAAATCCGAGTGGATTCCATGCACAAAGCGCTGCGTATTAAACCTCTCGCAGTCAAAGAAAAAAAGAGAGAAGAATTCGTATTTTTTTCCTTCTAATCTTTTCAGGTTATTGTCTCTGTACTTTCGTGTGTTCGATAATAATGACCTCGGCGTGGCGCGGATCAGCGCTCATGCCAGCCGGCCAGCTGGTCGACCGCCCGTAGAAATATTATAATAAACGGCGACATGCGGCAGATTCCGTTTTCTCCTTCCTCTGTTCACTCTCAGTGAAATTTATTTACCTCGTAAATCGACCGATGATACATTGAATTATATTTCTTTCTATGAAAAAAAAGAAACGAGAGAAAAAAGACAGGAAGAAAAGAGAAAGAAATTCAGACCGAGATGCTTTCGTTATGCGGCTCGCCCTGTTACTTATACATATTTCGGTATTAACAAAATACGTATGTCCGATGAATACAAAAATTTGTTTAATGAATTAAAATAAAGAACTCTTATTAACTAATAATATTAAATATCAAGAAAATAAGGACATATAAGAATCAAAGTTAAACAATTAATGTATACAATATAATATAAACCGTTTACAATGTGTACATTCTTAATGAATTACTGTAAGATATAAATTTAATAATATTACATTACATTACATTACATTGTTTCGGCATTATAATTGTGCCATCTTCAGATATACAAAACACACAGTAAAAAACGCAGTAAAAAGTCAATTGACTTTGAACTAGTCGCTAATAAAACCCATATTTGAGTCAATTGGAACATGATGAATGGCAAGCGGTTGAAAGACCAGTTAGAGAATTTTCACGATGATTTGTTAAGATGCATTACTAGAAAAAAAAGATCAGCAAACAAATTCATCACTCAGTTAAAAATTCACCGAGATCGCTATACAATTATCTTTTGCATGATGTAGATAGAATGCTCATCAAGTTATACTAGTCAATGTTATTACAAAGTAATTAGTATATAACTTTGTAATAATATGTATAGTCCATATGAATAGAGAAATGTAAAATTTAAAAAAAAATCATCTATCTAAATTTATAATTAAAGATGTATAGAAATTATAGTGTGACTGTTACGAAAGTCTAATCTTGACTGATATAATTCAATCTATGTACAGGGTGTCTATTTTTAAAAACCCACTCAAATATCTCTGAAACACTGCGTTCAATCAAAAAGTGTTTCAGACAAAATTTTGTGATTTTGAGAAGGATATAAGATGGTATTATTGATTTGATCTTGGGTGGCGTTGTCAAGGTTAGTTACTGAAGATTGTTTCTCTTTTTTTCATTTTTGCACTAAAAATTCATTTTTATGTACAACTGAAAATAAGAGAAATAATCTCCAATGACCTTGAGTTTAACAAATGTTATTCAGGACATGATCCTGAACAACATTCAAGAAGTTTTAACCGTCGGTCGGACATCTTGTGCTCAAATTGAAAGTTCTATACAAAAAATTCAAAAAGACCTTGCCCTAACCTTGACAACGCTACCCAAGGTCAAACCAATAATATCTTATATCCCCCTCGAAGTTACAAAACTTTTATCTGAAATGTCACGTATGTGACAAACACTTCACTTTATAAATGACATTGGAAGAAGGAGAACAAGGATCTTTTTGGAACTTGATAAATTTCCGTAGGTTATTGGAGTTGTTAAACGAAACTTTTGTGTTTTTGATATTAAATTGTCTTAATTTTTCAGTAACAGAAGATACAATATAAATAGAATTGTAATCCAAGAAGTTCTGTCAGATGAATTCTCATTGCTGGAATGGACCTGCACTCCAATTTCTCTCAGAAGACTTTGGATTTTTTTTGTTAATCGTATTAAAAATGAAATCGAGCGAATAATCGTTCTCGAATAATATATTAATTATAAATTTTAAGTTTGGTAAATATCAACAAGGGGACCCAGATCGGATAACCTTGGCATATATTGTCAAGATCATGATCCTGAGTGACCTTGAGATGGTTTTAGTTGGTGCTCGTTCTTGGTTAAAAAGTTATCAACAAAAAAAGTTTGAAAAAATAACGGTTTATTCCTATTTTATACAATATTAAGAGCTATTCTATATTTTTCCTTTCTACGTAATATACCATGAAAAATATAAAAAAGCCCATCAGAGCTACATCGGCTTTTCAGATGCACAGAAAACTCTTTATTCTCGTGTGAATGTAACAAAACGAATTAAATGGATGTTTCAACCCTTCAATTTGGCT